AGATGGCCCAAGACGCCCCCAAGAGGCCTCCAAGGTGCGTCCCAAGAGGGTCCCTACTCGCAAAAATTGGCGCATCTCCTTCGTAAAACGTATATTTGTTTACACATTCGCCTCGTGGGCTTTCCGACGCTCCAAGACGGCCCAAGAGGCCCCGAAGACCGCCCCAAGACACCCCAAAAGAACCCCCCAAGACGGCCCCACGACGGCCTCATATGGCCCCAAGACGGCTCCAAAGGGCCCCAAGACGGCCCAAGAAGGCCCCCAGACGGCACCAAGAGGAGCCGAAGAGGGCAACCAAACATTCAAAATTCTACTTGTCCGCCCCCGGGAGCCCCAGGGAGCCCGAAGAGTGCCCCAAGAGGCCGCCAGAGGCCCCCCAAAGGCGGCCAAGACGCCCCAAGGAGCTCCCAGAAGGCCCCCAGGAGGCACCCAAAAGACCCCCAGAGCCTCCGAAACGGCTCCCAAATGGCGTCAAAACTGCCTTCCAGAGGCTCCCGAGAGGCGCGCCGCGAGAACCCGATACACATGCAAGCAGCCTCCAACCCATGACCCATAACCCAGAGCCTCCTCGCCCCTCCTTCTCCACGTCGGCCCCCGAGGCTCCCGAGAGGCGGCGTCAAAACTGCCTTCCAGAGGCCCCCGAGAGGCGCGCCACGAGATCCGAATACACATACCAGAAGCCTCTAACCCATGACCCATAACCCAGAGCCTCCTCTAAGTGCCCCCCTCCTTCTCCCCCCCCCCCCACCCTCCCCCACCTCGGCCCCCAAGGCCCCCGAGAGGCGTGCCGCGAGATCCCGATGCACATACAAGAAGCAGCTCACCCGTAACCCATAACCCAGAGCCTCCTCTTTGTGTCCCTCTCCCCATCCTTCTTCTCCCCCTCCTCCCCCTCCTCCTCCTCCTCCTCCTCCACAGCCTCCTCGCCCCCTCCTCCTCTTCCGCCCCCGCCTCATTCTCAGAAGGAGGAGGAGGAGGAGGAGGAGGGGAAGGACGCAGAGGAGGAGGGATGAGGAGAAGGAAGGATGAGGAGGGATGATAAGGAGGAGGAGGAGGAGGAGGAGAAGGAGGAGGAGGAGGAGGAAGAGGGGAGGAAGAAAAGAGGACGAGGAGGAGAAGGATGAGGAAAAGGAAGGAAGAAAAGGAGGAGGGGAAGGAGGAAGAGGAGCTTCCCTCCTCCTCCTCCTCCTCCTCCTCCTCCTGCTCCTCCTCCTCCTCCTCCTCCTCGTCCTCCTCCTCCTGTTCCTCCTGCTCTTCCTGCTCCTCCTGCTGCTCCTCCTCCTCCCCCTGCTCCGCCTGCTCCTCCTGCACCTCCTGTTCCTTCTCCTCCTCCTCCTCCTCCTCCTCCTCCTCCTCCTCCTCCTCCTCCCCCTACCCACCAGCCGGAAGATGTCGGAAGAGACACGAGGTCGACAGGCGGTCAAATTAGATCAGGCCTCGGCCCGTCCACATATGAGATGCGGTGAGCGCAGGGAGCCAACGATTCTCAGAATAGGGTGAGGAGGAGGATGAGGCCAGACCACGACCCGATGCGCACAACGCTCCGCAGAGTTCTCCTGTTTGTCCTTGGAAACCACTTCGTGGACGACCCGTGGAAGCTGTCGGATAAAACTTGACCTGACAAGAACGGGAAGCGAATGTTCGAACGTTCGTTGCAGGTGTGGCATCACATGGGGACGTCAAAACTGGAACGCTTGTGCGAACAGGAGGGGACTGCGCGGTGCCCGAGTCAAGGATCCCTCGAAAATATACGACGCTCGCGCTCCCGAGGCGCAGATCCCTCGTAAAGTACGTGCGATACGCGCCTCCGAGGCCACGACCCATTGCAAAGCATTCTGGGTTCATGCCTCGGCGACCAGGACCCACAGAAAAGCAGCCAGATTCACGCCCTGGAACCGCTATTACTTGTATTGTGCGCAAGCGGTCAGTTACCACGCGGCCCCCGCGTCCACCTTCAAGATCCCGAGCTATCCGCCGTCCCCTTGGGGTTCGGTCCGGCTGGCTTGCAGGGGGGGGATCTGGTCAAACGGACTAGATCCCTCACCCCTCCCAAGAATCCCCAGGATGCCTCCGGCCGTCTCCGGCCACTCCAAAATGCTCCAAGACGGCCCATTATATTTTGAATACGACCGGCGATAACCCCAAGACGGTCCAAGAGGCCTGTAACATGAAGCCCTCTTGGATCCCTCTGGCGCCGTTTTCGGGCCCTCTTGAGCTGTCTTGGGGCTGTGTAACCCGAATTCGGGATAAGGAGATGGAAAATCTAGTGACCCTCGGTCCATCCCGCCACCGTGCCGGGGTATTGAGAATGAGACGAAGTGAAAATTCGTTGGGCTCTCTTGGGAGGCTTCTCGCGGGCCGTTTCGGGTCCTCTTGGGGCCTCTTTTGGGCCTCTTGGGGGCCTTTTGGGGTGTCTTGGGGGCCTCTCGGGGGCCTCTTGGGACCTCTTGAGCGCCTCCTGGGGCCTCCTAGGGCCGTCTTTGGGCGGGGTGCTCCGATTTTCGATTCGGGCTCACCCTGTTGGGCCCCTCTTGGGGCCCTCGTGGGCCTTCTTGGCGCCCTCTTCGGCCGTCTTGGGCGCCTCTTGAGAGTCTCTTGGGCCGTCGCGGGTCGGTCTTGGGGGACTCTTGGACCGTCTTCGACGTCGTGAAGACGAGAAAGTCGTATATACAATAGATATACGTTTCCGATAAGAATTTGGCGATTTTGGCCTCTTGGGCCCTCTTGGGGGTGCTCTTGGAGGCCTCTGGGGCCGTCATGCGGGCCCCCTGGAGCCGTCCTGTGGCCTTCTGGGGACCCTCTTGGGCGCTCCAAGAGCGATCTGAACACAAAGGCGGCCTGGAGCCAACGCCAACTCCATTTTTTAGAGGATGTCCCGAGCGAAACGGCCAATTTGGAAATCCGCAAACGCCCGGCCGGGATGCAATCAGGAGCCCCATATAAAGGTTTTTCCTTAACTCGTTCCTCGTTCGCGCTTCCCGTCATCCGCCGACCCCTTGTGGGTCTCTAGCCGTGTGAAATAATTCCCCCCCGTAACCCCCAGAACCCCAATCCGGAGATTTGGCCCCCCCCGGGCCGACCACGAGCGCACCACGGGGCTTTTCCGGCCGCAAGAGGGCCTACAGACGGGCCAAGAAAGCCTTAAGAGGCCTCCAAGACGGCCCACGAGGGCCCCGAAACGCCAAACGAACGCTCCAAGACGCCCAAGATTGCCCCAAAAGGGCCAAGAGACCTCCAAGACGGCCCAAGAGATCCCCAAGAAGCCTCCCAAGAAAGCCTCGATAAGTGAAACTTTTTTTTTTTTCCATTGTGGTTTTCCTATGTGTCTTGCCTTTGCGTCTTTTCGGCTTGCGGGAGCTCCAAGACGGCCCAGGAGGCCCCGAAGACCGCCCCAAGACCGCCCAAGAGGCGCCCAAGGCGGCCCCGAGACGGCCCAAAGCCAAGATGGCCTCAAGACGGCCCAAGAGGCCCCCAAGACGGCCCCAGAGGACTCCAAGACAGCACCATGAAGAGCCCCAGAGGGCCACCAAAAATTTACAAAATCTAGCTTTCCGCCCCCAGGAACCCCCGGGGGCACCAAAAAACACACCTGGGGGCCCAAAAAGGCCCCAAGACGGCCCACGAGGACGCCAAAGCAGCCCAAGAAGAGCCCAAAGAAGCCCAAGAGAGCTCGAAGACGAGCCCAGGAGTAGCCCGAACAGCCCCAAAGATGCCCCCCTCAGGCCCCGAAGAGTCCCCAAGAAATCCGACAAGAACCCCAAAACGACCGCCAAACGGTTTCGAACCATCTGATCATTGACTTCAATTAAGGGGTCGGCGGATGTGGCGTAAGCCTGAAGAATCTCAGCTCGGCTTCGTGTGCCTGCTCACCGACGACGGCCTCTACAACCAACAGGCAGGACCAGTACACGTCCTCGACTGGGGTAGCTCGAGGATCAAGAGGGTTTGTAGGGCCTCGATGGGAGCAGAGGCTCACGGACTGACAGGAAGGAGCTGAAGCGCTGGATTGGATCCTGGCGGTCTTCTACGAGATGCAGAAGTCAGATCAGCCATTAGGCGACCTGGTGGACGACGCGGCGACCCTCATACCAGCTAAGTGGTTCGACGATGCCAACAGCCTGGTGTCCCACCTCCTCGAGGACGCTGGCCAGATCGCAGATCGTCGGGTACGAGTGGACATCGCAGCTCTCCAGGAGATGCTCTCACAGGATGGAGTTGACCTGGAGTGGTGCGACACATCAGTTCAGCTGGCAGATGCGTTGACGAAGTTGGAAGCTGAGCGAGGCTACCTGACGAGAGCGATGATGGACGGCTACGTGAGTGTGAAGGTCTCCGCCGAGGCAGCCTCCGCGAAGGAAGCAGTGACGATGGCACGCCACCGGCGTGCAGACGAGTGTCGAGCTCGCGACGCCCAGAGCAGAACCACCGCTAGGGTGTAGCACAGCGCACGGCACGGCTAATTGTCTTCATATTTCTAGGGCTTCCGCTCATCTTCCGCGGCGCTTCCGCGCCACTATGTGTGATTTGGTTCCGGACGTCGGTTTGACGATCGGCCGATCCTTTCTGGAGTAATGTAGCCAGATGATCGAGGACGGGTGTTGAAATGCCCCAGCGATCATCCCTCCATTTAGCCTGCCAGTTGCCGCTTCCCGCTCCCACCCGCTCAGACATGGCATTTCGGTTCACAGAGCTCTTGCGTTCACGATTGCAGAACACCTGAAAGCTCCCAGCGGGTGGCGGCCCGCCACTTGACTCCCCTCCCTCCCTCTCTCTCTGCCTCCTACTGGCATCGTGCCACCATACGGAACGCTGAATAAGGACCGAAGCTCCTGTCGGGCCCTGAGAGCGCATGGGTGTACGAGGAGCGCTAGAGCCAAGGGAACAGCGAGCCCCTTCCGATCCCGAACGGTTCCTTACTTTCAGCGTCTCGACGTTTAGTCGTCTGACCTCCCGCCCCTGACATCATTTCTATCTGATCGTCAGCTCGCTCTCTCGCCAGCCTCCCATGCCCTTCACCATCTTAACCGGGATGATCCAATTCGCGAGGTCGCCGTTGGCCGCGACCTCCATGGCGCCCAGGATCGTCATGTCGACGTGGCCTGACCAGCACGGCCAGGCTGCCGACGCAGTGATCGGCAGAACCCACGAGGGGGGCGGGGCAAGAGGAGCGTTATGTTGCATCTTCGGGGGACCTCGTCTGTCCCATCGCGTCGCTATTCGCGTCGAGTCCGTGTCGGACCCACATCGAACGCGCGGCGGACATAAGATATCGCAATAAGTTGGCAGACAAGGTCCCCAAATATGCAAAGTAAGGAACGAGGAACGCCCTGCTGATCCAGACCTGCAACGTCGCGATGTTCCCATAACGTGAACCCGTATATCCCGAGTCGTTTTTAATTGTCTCGGGGTCCTCTGAGGGCATCCGTTGCCACAAACATTATGTCATGACTTATTCACAACGCGAGGAGGCGGGCGGGGAGGCGGGGAGTTTGTGAGAAGGCAGGGGCTTCTCAGAAGTCGCCCGGGTTCCTGAGAAGCCTTCTGTGGAGCTAGTTGGGCCCTCGAGGCAAGAATATATCCATATCCATCGCTTGTGGAGGTCTGCGAAGCTCGATCACCCAGGCGCTGGTTATGCATAAATCTCTGCCTCGGATTCCCAGAAGAGCCCCCCCCTGTGCCCTACCAAAGAGAAGGCCCCTCCCCAAAAAACACAAGGCCGCCCTCCGCGCGCCACCTCCTCCTCAAGTGCGCGCCGGCCACTCTCCGAAGGCTGCACCGCGCGCCTGGTGGTGCGCGCCGCGCCGGCCCGCCTCAGTCGTCCCCGGCAGCCGGGCTCGCCAGCGGGACCCCTGGCAAGACGAAGCCAGGACGAGGATAAGATCGGGTGAGGATAGATCGAGAAGCGCTGAGATCCGGCAGCTCTGGCGGATGTGTTGGACGCCGTGGCTTCCTGAGAGCGTTCCGGAACGCTCTGGAGAGCGTTCCGAAACGCTCTGGAACGCAGTTGTGCTCGTCCTGGCCCCGCCCCGGCCTGGCCCGCAGGCTCGATGGGGACGCGGGCCGGGCAGACTCGGTCGTCCGACGGTGTGGTCTTTGCTATCAGCGGCTGCTCGTCTTCTCGACGCGGGTTGACGTCTGGCCTCGGCTCCCTCACAAAACGGCGGAGGGTGCCGAACGCGGGCCCGAAGAGCTCGGCGAGGCGAGCGCCTCACGGCATTATTGCTCATCGGCTTCGGAACCTGGGAGCCGTCTTCGGGACACGGGGCCATCAAAATTGGATCCAGGACGACACGCTGTCCCAGGGCAAGGTGTCGGGACCTTCTGCGGCCGTCGAAGGAAAAATCGCACTTTCCGATGACCGGGAACGAGACGTCCTTCGGCAACACCCCCTTCGGCCCGCCGCGTGGCCGGCCCGCGCGGGCGGACAGGGTGACCGAGCGGCGCAGATCAAGGGCGCCCCGGTGCCCTGGGGCACCTGCTCCCTGGACTCGAGGCCTCGCCCCAGCCTCCCTCCTCCTGGTCCTGATCTGCCTCCTCCCTCCTCCTCCTCCTCCTCCTTCTCCTCCTCCTCCTGCTGCTGCTGCTGCTGCTGCTGCTGCTGCTGCTGGTAGCACGAGGTCCTCACGAGCGCTGCCAGCGGTCCCCGCCTGCGTGTGCCGAATGGCACAGCAGGCGGGGACCATTCCGAAAATGGGCTGATCGCCCTGGGGCCGGCAAGGGACGAGGGTGGGAGAGACGGACGATGGGCACGGAAGAAGAGGGCGAAGGGAGCACGAGAGGGGAGGAAAAGAAGAGAGAGACCTGCGGGACGGGACGGCGGTGGCCGGTGCCGCTCTGGCGGCGCACTCCTACGCCTCCACCAACCACTCACATGCTACTCCCCACCCTCCTCCTCCTCCTCAGGCCCCTCAGGGCCGTCGCCAGGCCGCTGCTCGTGCGGTCCAGGGTGTTCAGGCCCTCGTGGGCGAACGTACCTGTGAGCACGACGCGGCCCAGCCCAGTATATGCTGGGCGCCGCAGTTGTGCTCGTCGGCGTCTCCCCGATGGTGCTGGGCACAAGGGTACTGCTGGGCATGCCGCGCAGTCCCTGTGCCGCCCTGAGGCCCGTCACCGCGTGCGCGGCTTCGTCCTCGCCTCGAGGGGCCGTAAGCCGCGCGGCCCGAGTGCGAGGGCAGGTGAGGGAGTTGCTGGGTTCGGTTGCTGGCTGTCGCCCAGGCCATTCGCCTCGTGATAGTGTTGGTACCGGCCTTGGTGGCAGTGCTGCTGGTTGCAGTCGTGGCGCTGCTGCCCGTCGTAGTCGCGGTGCACGTGGTGCTGCCGCTGGTTGCTGGAGCGCCGTCATGGTGCTCCTGTCCCCCGCCTCTGATGTTGCTGCTCGCCCGTCGGTGTGGACCCTCGGGAGCAAGCAATCGTGCCAGGCTCGGGAGCCATGCTGGCGTCGATGCTGGAGTCGTTACTGGTGTTTGTGATGAGGTAGTTGACGTATATGCCAGCCCTGGTGCTGGTGCCGATGCCGATGACGATGCGGTCGTCTCTGCTGGCGTCGTTGTAGGCGGCGGTGTTAGCGTTGCGGCTGGTGGCTGTGCTAGTGCCAGTGCTGTTGTCGATGCAGGGTTCGCGGATAGTGTCGCTGCTGACGTCGGGGTGGGCGATGAGGCTGGTGATTGTGCTGGTGCGTGAGAAAATGCCGATGAGGGAGTCGCTGCTATCGTCACTGCAAACGTCGGTGTTGGGGGCGACTTTAGTGGCTGTGCTGATGCTGGTGCTGCTGTCGATGGATGTGTCAATGCTGGCTTCACTGGAGGCGTCGGCGGTGACGTCGAGACTGTCGGCTGTGCTGGTGCTGGTGCTGTTGTCGTGGCGGGCGTCGTCGTTGTCGTCGCTGCGGACGTGGGTGTCGACGTCGGGGATGGTGGCTGTGCTGCTACTGGTTCTTCTGTCAATTCAGGCATCCTTGCTACTGTCGCTGCAGGCGTCGGCGTTGGCGTCGAGACTAGTAAATGTGCTGGTGCTGGTGCTGATGATGATGCGAACGTCGCTGCAGGCGAGTCTGCTGGAGTCGGTGGTGACTTAGACGCTGGTGACTCTGCTGGCGCAGGTGGTCGTGTCGATGCTGGCGTCAGTGCTGGCGTCGTTGCAAGCGTCGACCTTGGCGTCGTGGCTGTTGGCTGCACCAGTGCCGGCGCTACTTTTGACGCTGGCGTCGTTGCTATCGTCACTGCGGGCATCGTTGTTGGCATCGGGGCTGGTGGCTGTGCCAGTGTCGCTGCTGCTGTTGTTGCAGGCGTCGCTGAGGGCGTCGCTGAACGTGTAGGTGGTCGTCGAGGCAGATGGTTGTGCTGATGCCAGTGGCATCGATGTGGGCGTCGCCGCTTGTGTCGCTACAGGTGTCGATGATGTTGGTGGTGCCGTTGGGTGCATTGGTGTTGGTGCCGGCGTCGGTGCAGGCGTCCACGTTTGCGTCGCAGCAGTCGCCGATGCTGGCGCCGATGCCGTCGCTGCGCCTCCTCTGCACTCCACTCCCACGGCTTCAGCCATCCGCCCGTCGGCGGTGCCCGAGCGCGGATCGCCCCCGGAACGGGACTCGACCAACCGCTCGTCAGCGGCCAATCTGGGGGGTTCGGCGCAGCGGCCAGCAGCGTGGCCTCCACTGCACGCCACCCGCGTGGCTTCTGCCACCTGCCCGTCAGCGGCACTCAGGCGCGGAGGCCCGCCAGGCGGGGGCTCGCTCGCCCACGCGTCCGCGGCCAGCCTGGGGGATTCGGCCTTGATCGCTGGTGTTGGCACCGTTGCTGGTGGCTGTGCTCGTGCTGGTGCTGACGTCGATGGATGGGTCGTTGTTGGGGTGGCTGCCTGTGTCGAGGTGGGTTCGGTGCTACTGTCGAGGCAGGATTCACTGCTGGCGTCGCTGATGGCTCCGTTGCAGGCGTCAGTGTCGGCGCCATGGATGGTTGCTGTGGTGTTGCCGTTGCTGTCGTCGGTGCTGTCTCCGCCGCTGGGGTCGGTAGTGGTGTCGATGCTGGCCTGGGTGCGGGTTCTCGTGCCAGAGTCGAGAGGTGCCCGCGGTGCTCGCGTCGATGCTGGCGTCGATGGTGACTTCGGTGCTGGCATCGCTGCTGGAGTCGATGCTGGCGTCTGTGCGGAGGTGGATGCAGGCTCCTGTGCTGGCGCCAGTGGTAGAGTCAGTGCTGTCTGTGATGCTAGCGTCGATGCGGGGGTCGATGCTGGCGTTGGTGCTGGCGTCGGAGCTGGAATAGATGCTGGCGTTGGTGATGCCATCGATGCTGGCTTCGGTACTGGAGTCATTGCTGCCTTCCGTGTTGGCGTTGCTGCTGGGGTTGATTGCGGCGTTGGTGCTGGCGACGATGCCTGGGTGAGTACTTGCGTCGGTGCCGCCACACCCTTCGAAGCCTTGTGGTGCAAGCTATCGTGTCCTGGCCGCGTGGCCGATAGCGTGGTGGACGAAATGGTCGTTACTGGTGTCAGTGTCCTGCTCCTCCTCCTCCTCCTCCTCCTCCTCCTCCTCCTCCTCCTCGTCCTCGTCCTCCTCCTCCTCTTCCTCTTTCTCCTCCTCCTCCTCCTCCTCCTCCTCCTCCTCCTCCTCCTCCTCCTCTTCATTCCTCCTCCTCTTCATTCCTCCTCATCATCCATTCGCCTCCCAAGGGCCGCCACGCGGAGCGCTGCGGTGGCACGGCGGCGGACTTAATCAAGGCACCACCGTGTGCAGGGGGGGGCCAGAGGCTGCTGAGCAGATGAAGCATGCATGCAACAGCCGCCGCGACACGATCCGAACGACACACTTTGGGCGAGGGTCCCGCTGGCCTCCACGAATCATGGCGAAGGAGTCGGAGGATGCGAACGTGGAGCTGCCGGGGATCGTGGTGATCGTTTCCTGCGGGGAAGTGCTTGCCCTGTGCTCGTTGGGTCCAGAAGGGAAAGGAGGAGGATGGGCATGGCGAGGGGGGAAATGCGCCTCATCGTCTCATCGTCCCCGTCCTAT